TAAAAGCATTACCCTTCACTTAGCACAGTTTACACACAAGAGCAGTTAAGCATCTCTCATGCATCTACTATTGAACACTTTTTCTGAAAAGAATTTAAGAGAGCACCATTTAGAGTTTCCTTTGTAAGAAAAGCATTTTCAAAACTACACCTATCACTCCTCCCCACCACACTCCCAAACCACCTTCCAACTTCTCTGTGCTGTACTTTCACTCCTGCAAGTTCTCTGCAAGACCATTTCCTCCTATTGTTACTCAGCTTTCATTGACAAAAGCTGGTTTCACTGATGCATTTTAGCTGTAGCTTCAGAATGGTAAGACAATGATTTTATTACAAGGAGGTGTGTATAAGTAAGCCATGATGTGTCAGCTAAAGATTGGACTAGTGTAATGGGGAAGATAAAAACAGTCAAATGATGGTAGGCCCTCATCTTACAAATAAGAAATCCTAAAAAAGTCTAATTTTATTAATGTGGATATTGATTTCAATGCATGGTGAAATACAGATGCCCTCTATTACTATTTACTACTGTATGGGTAATTCCTAAATTAAACTATAATGACAACCTTGTAATAATGCAATATGTGACAACAGGCTTGTACACACTGATAAGTCAAACAGTTCATAATCCTTTTCTTTTTTGCATGCCTTTTATATGCCAGGTCCGGTATTATCAGTCAACAGGGGGACAGGTAGTTTCATAAGCAAGCTAAATCAAATAGGCTTACATACATTAAAGAAAGGGCAAAGGTCAGGGGATTCAGGGCAACTGTAAGGTGTCCCAATTTATCTATGTCATCAGATTGATTTCACAAGAGAATTAGTGATCAATACATGGAGTTAGAGGATAAAAGCCTTTCCCCCTCCGGGTCACCAGTTCAAATCCAGTCTCATTCTACAGACTCAATGCTGCTAACCATCAGAAATCAGTGACTTATGTGAATGAGTTTGGTTGAATCTAATCATATCCCATCCCCTATTCAAAGAAGCAATACCCCAGTCAGCATCCTGCAATCAGATAGAGAAGACACATAAAAAACTCAAAGAGCATGAAGAATTCTTGCAAAAGTACTCGTCCCTCTGCATCAGGTTTAAGTCATGTTGGCAGGACAGCATTTGTTTGTACTGCCCTTGTTCTACGGTGGAAAAGAGGACTTCAATGCTTTGGAGAACCAATCTAACAGTTTTCAGGAACCTGACTGGCCAAAAATTTGCCACTAAAACTTCTATGAGCAAAAACTAGGTTTCTGACTAAAGTATTTTGGGGGGGGTGGAAAGTCCGCTTCCCTCAAGAAATTTCTGTTTGGCACAAGAAAGGCCAAACCCAAAGTATTGCAGGTTTTGGATTCTGCAACAAAAACTTGAAATTTTCCAATGAAATATAGCCATTTACCACCCAGTACTATTCATGAGAAGCTAACAATCAAGTCTTCACGATGAGCTTTCATATTTCAACGCTGGTCTGTTTAATTCCACCCAAAGGACTGAAGTTCCATCTTTTCTGAAATAAGGTCAGGCCAGAGCACTCCTCTAAACTGGGGTTATTTTTTTCAAGAATAATGAGCAACAGCAAAAGCACAGCACTTGCCACTCAAACTTTTCATCTGCAATCTGTATGACAAACAACAAGCAAACTAATCTTGTCCACTTAATTATTCTGGTTTCCCCGAGTGTCTACACAAACATATTTCTTATTACTCGCAATAAAAATAGGGAGGAGCTATGCAGCTGTTGGCACTGTTTGGGAAAAAGATGGGAACAAAACTTGCATTGTTTATTCCCAGTCCCACCTCAGGGAATGATAACTGAAAGAAAAGCAGATCAAGCTTTTAGGGCTTAGCTGAATTTAATGGGGAGCCAGTGAAATCTGAGGCCCCAATCACAGTGGTGATACCTGTTCCATATCAGGTCTCCAAACACAAAGCAATGACCTCTTTAATGGTCAAATACTGAGAATTCCCTACAGGGTTTTGACGTCAGGGATCTAACTGTGATCAATATAGATAAACTGGTGCAATAATCAGGAGCCTTTCTGGGAACAAACTAAGGTGCCAATTTTTTTTTAAATCTTTATTTTTGATGGATGGGGAAAAAAACTCATCTGTTTCCCCACAGAAGGGGCCTTTCCAATGGAATAATAGTTGGAATAATAAAAATTCATTAATTCTCTAATAGAAATGGCATGTGAATCACAAGAACACTTCTATTTTGAAGGGTAAGGCAACTATTTAACATAATCAATAAACCAATCCCACACATGCCTGACAGGCATATCAACAGCCTGTCATGGAGACAAGACCAGGCATCAAAAGACCAGTCAGGAAGCTACCAAGACACTTCCTGGACAGGTTTTTCTTCTGCAGCTTTATTATGACCAAGAGGCAAAGCTACAAACTGTTCTGAAGCCAGTACAGGAGTCATCAGGAAACTACTAATCTATTTCATGAGCATGTTTTCCCTCCAAATAAATTCCTTTTGGATAATCTAAATTAAATACTGAACAATATCCCCCCTAATATAAATGCAATCAACCCAGCAAAGAAACACGAAAAGAGCCAAAAGAAAGTGAGATGTCTGTGTTTACAAACATTGCACTTAATTCTGCCAAGTGCTGAGTACCTCCTTGAAGGTGCCAGATGCCATTACCTGAGTCACTATTTCTAAAGAATTTGGGGCACCATTTTCTACTTTGTTTAAAAATACAGTGACAGTAGCCAAGATTTTACAAAGGAAAATAGTCGTAAGCCTCCAGACTCCAAAACAAACCTGCTATTTTCTTTTTCAAAAGCAGTCACATGAAAAGAGCTTTTCATGTCTATAACAATTTATCAGCTTTAATCTAGCCCACAACAACATCACTCTTATTGCATTAGTGATACATAAAACTGTTTGGCTGGTGAGATATTGTACGCCTAGGTCCTAACTTCACTTACATGGGTTTTTCCCTGCCATAGCTATATAGAATCCAATAAAGTTAATCCTCATTTAGACCAGTGTATGTGAGAACAGAATCAAATAACCTCTGTAAGTCTGCCCAGACATTGGTAACATACCATCACACCACCACCAAATTAACAGGCTGCATCATAATCTCTATCAAGCTAAAATCAAGAATGACGCTTTGCTTCTAGTTTTGGTGGCCTAGACTCTGCATAATAGCTGCTTTCCAGGGGGAGCTTATTCCAGGTGTTGCAGAGGCTATTCTACTGCTTTACTAAAATGTTTCACAAAAGCAAAGCATTCAATTTATGGGTGCTCAAGTGTGATAAAATTATCAAAAATAAACTGATAAATAGCTTCAGGAAACTAAAATAGTATTGACTAAATAATCTGAAGACACAAGTAGCATAAAAAGCATTAGTTATGTTTCTTATTGCCCTTTTCTTTTCTTGTTTAGCATGCAATTAACAAATCTACTGCTTCCTCTGTGCTAACAGCCTAAGGACCTTAAGCTGCTAATAGTGCTAGCAGTGAATGAATTGAGTGGTACAACTTTCCTGTCTGTATCTTTAAAATGACAACACTTGGTTGATTTACAAGCCTCTTAATTCCTTTACAATCACTGGTCAATTGTAGTGTGACCAATCCAAGTCAGCAGGATCACGTGGTGAAAGTAGTCACTGTACATGAAGGTACCCTATGCATCTTCACACCATCCTGCTATCCCAAATATCTTTAAGATCTATTCAAATTGGTATGAGTTTGCATCACATCCCTCAGTATTTGTTGAGGTGAAATGACTCGGATGTCTTCTCAATCAACAGCAAAGCAAACCCAGTGAAAAATACATTCCTTTTTTGACACCATCATTACAGTTTGGTATTGCACATACAGAACAAAGCACCACTCTTGAGGCTACCAAAGGAAATGCTGCATATCAAACCTAAAAGTGCATGAGAGAAAACATAATTCTCATAATTTTATGTATCACTCCATGTAATTACATAAGGTCCAATTTTATCATGTTCATATTTGGCTGATGCATCCATGTGATTCAGATATATAACAATTTTTCAACAGTACTCTTGATGACAAAAAGTGGCCTGTTTCAATAGAAAACCTCTCATTGATATCAACAAGCTTTGGTTCATGTCCGATGCTATTAAAAGAGCTGGGACCAGTACCACCAACAGGATACCAGAATCTAGTTACAATTCAGAGGTAAACATCAAGAGAGATGAAAAAATAAATCTTCTGTGGTTCAGCAATATCTTTGTTCTGAAATTATTTATAAGTTAAGATCAAATGAAAGCCCATGCCATTGTCTGCTTAAATGTTAAACCAAAACTCTGAGCTAGAATTATTATTCTTATTGATATGTACTTTAATAGCATCCAAAAGCTTCAGTTAAGATGTGAGTCCCATTGTTCCAGAAACTGTTCAAATATACTGGTAGGCATGGTACCCGCACTAAGGACAACACAATCTAAATAAGGGATATGAACCTCAGTGGTCCAAACAACTGACAGCTATCTTGTTATGATTAATGTGGGGATGTTCGTCTACAAGAAACAGATGTGGGACATGCCACGCTCACTTTGCAAGAGAACTCGATGACTCTAGTCCAAGACAGCATCCATTTAGTGCTAGCAAAGACACTTACCTAACAGGGCATTACGCCCATTGTCATCTGGCAAGAATCTTTTATCTACAGCACACACCAAAAGTTGATCAGGCAGATTTGGAGATTTAGCACCAACAAGTAAAAACCCTGAAGGTACTTCAATATGATCATTGGAAATGGACACCAGCCGCAAGTCTTTACCAGCCTGGCAGAAACCTAAGGAAAAAAGTAAGGCAACACATTTCTAAGGTCAAAAGAGATATTATTTAATTGTTCACACTTGCTTTAATTCAACAAATATAACATTTCATTATTATAAAAAGAAAAACATCTGTCTGAGAGTTCAACTGTAACTTCAATGTCAAGTTTCAAATTATGGTCAATATTTTTCTGTGCTAATAGGCCAGCTGTAAAATAAAGCTAGTAATGGAATAAATAGATTAATAACCAGAAAATGATGTTTCATGCAACAGGGTTAGAACGCATTCCACAGCCCTTTTTTTTTGGAAGTGTATATAACTAAGTTAACTTTAACAAGTGCATACTAAGTTAAATATTTAAGAAGAGACACTACAGATGGTGTCACTTCAGTGTCACTGTTTTTACACTGTCCCTCTCTTCTCACAGCAATAAAGAAAGAGAAATTTTTTAATAGGAAAATTTGGTAATAAAAAAAAATCAGCAACAGACATACTACTTCCAGCTATCTTGAACTCAAAGGGTTTTTTTGACAGACTCAGCAGGGACACACAAAAGTGTATGAGCAACCAAGATTTCCAGCTTTGACAAAAAAAGGCTTAACAAATGGTGGCTTTCTCACAATTTCTACATACAGTGGAGCCCCGAATTTTGAACAACATCAAAGGTAACTGTTATGATGTTTGGGCTAAGTCTTGCTCTTTTTTACTGAGATATAACTCCCCCTGATACCAAGAGAAGCCATGCCTAAAAAGAACTGTCAGATTTGTCCCATATTTCTAGTCTTATATATTTCTCACCATCGGTAGTGCAACAGCCTTCAGGAGGAGGCTTCATCTGATAAGCAATAGGAGGGCTACTTGACTCTGAACCTTCTTCTTCTTCCTCCTCCTCCTCTTCCTCATTATCTGCTCTGCTGCCTGCTACAAGGTACCAGAAACAAACTACACTTAGAGAACACACAGTAATCAATCACTGAACCAAAGAATGAGCACAGTAACCCAGTTTTAGCAAGCTGTAAGGAAAAGCTGAATGCCCTTGTCTCTGCAGTGAACTGCATTGTTGGTAACTTTCTTGATAGTTATCATGTTTTTCTTAAAGCTCATGTTCCTGGAATCTGGTGATTGTATAAGAGTCTCAGCTTTTGTTTAAAGGAACGTTTAGCTTTTGTAAAACTTTTGAAGCTGGAAATGCAGTGAAAGTGGATGTAAAACAGAAGCTTGTAAAACAAAAGATAAGTAAAAAGAAGCTCAGAATTATATTTTTCAAGCATCTCATGATTTGTAAGCCACTATTAAGACTTTTTTAAATGCTTAACATGGCATTAAGCAATGTTTTAAAAACGCTGTCCCTTTAAATATTTGAAAAGCACCCGTATACTCCTAGGCCAGATCCAGACATGCAGACACATTACCATTTGTGGTGCCACAAATCTCTTTGTGGCACCACAAAATGCACACCTGGCATGTTAAAATGTGCCTCATGCTGCAAATTTGCAGCACAGGGGCAAAAGTTGCTACTAGGAACTCCCAGTAGCAAAAAAAAAACCCACAAAAGACAAGTGGCATGGCACACCACAGAAGCATGAGCTGGCAGACACAGAGGCTCAGTCCTCCCAGGAGAGGCTCAGGCAACCAGCCAGAGCATCTCCCCTCCTCTAGTTCCACCCTAGCTCCTCCAGCATGCTGGCCCTACAGCAGTTTCCATGAAGTGGGGCATTTTGCCCTGCACCAAAGTGGACGTGCAGGGGCGTAGTCAGTGGCAAAAAGTAGCAGCACAAATTTATGCTGATACTTTTTTTCCTGCTGCAAGCACATGCCCCTGCATATGGAGAACCCATGGGATTGAAACAGCAGATGAAAAATTTTTGAACCACCTCCTTCAGCAGTCTTCTGCATCATAAAGAACTGCATACAGCAGAATTTTCCATACCTATTGCCATTTAAAAAATATCCCAAAAAACATGAAAGTTGCATTAGTAAGTGCTGAAACCCAAAGAAAAGACAATGTTATGACTGGACTCACATCCTTAGCTCTGCCCCTTGTGTAGGTCACAGGGCAAAATCTTCAGCTGATGTCAATCAGAATAGCTCCATTAAGTCAACAGAACTGTAGTGCCGATTTACACCAAATCAGGGCCAGATCCATAGTCTTTACTTACCTTACCAGGTGTATTTCACAAGTAGTCTCACATAGCACCATTATTGCTGCAATCTTTGTAAAATTACTTCTACAGCTTCATGTAGGACATTTTTTAGTCTTTTCTGTTTGGACAAGTTTCCCTGTCACTGGGGTCTAGTGTATCTTTACTGATTTAGCAATGTTCCGTGATAGATTCTTCTGTTCCTAAAGCAAGGCTTCCAAAATAAATGAAGACAGTTCTGCAAACATGTAAAACCACATGCAATCATACTCAATGGGGCTGCTCATACAAGTAGTATTATTTACTCATGCAGGCACTTGCAGGATCAGTGTTTGATCAACAACCAGAAAACTTATTTTTAACTAAAATCATACAGACCTCAAGAGCAAGTTGCGGAGTACGTAATTGATTACAAAGATTACTGAGCTACAAAGCCAGGTCCAGACTGTGAAATCCTTTCCAAAGCTGACTAGCACCCCGTACCATAAACATTCCCAATACAGATGAAGAAACTATGAGTCAACTTGAGGAGAGCATCACCTTCTCACCCTTGAATAACCTGGATATGCCACTTAATTCTACTACTATAATGCTGTTATATTTAAATCTGTATCCTGCTCCACTGAGTTCAACCACAAGTCTCTAACTGATGTCAGAAGTACAGGGTTTGGATGCTAAGTGGCAATATAAAGTATAAGAAATATTTAGTCTAATTTTTAATTGAGTTATATTCATGGTTCTGTTCAGTTTATGCACAGTACACAGCTCCAGAAAATGCTACCCATCTCTATGTCTGGTTGCAGACAAATTTGGATGAAATATCTTGTTTAAGAAACAGTATGTTACTGTGAAATTATAGACTGTGATTCTGATTTGCATCTCCTTTGCACTTCGTGAGGCCATGTGCACCCATGCAGAGTGCTACCAGATCAGATCAGAGAACCAAGTCCAACACTGCACTGGAACCACAGTAGAGGAAATGTTCACTTTCTATTGTAGGCTTAACAGTTTCTGACTCCAGATCACTCTGTTCAGCACTTAACCTTAACATACTCTTCAGCAAAAAACCCAGATGCTCAGCTACTATAAATCCATGTAAGTTAATAGTTACACTAGTCTGCAGTTGCTGAAGATCCATCCCACGGTTCTTTATGAATTTCTTAGTTGTTTTTGCAAAAGAAAGAAATAAAAAACACATTCCACAAGGAGTAAGCACTTGACTGAACGCTACTGAAAAGTCCTAGCCCATCCACCTTCCAAGGCTAGCCTAATGAGAGTTTTCTGCACACCTTAGGCATGATGCAATCAGAAGACTCTCCTGCAGGCCTTGCATTCTGTGAAGGACCACAGTACCCAAAGCTAAAGTCTGAAATATCTCCAATAACAGGAGACAAGTACTCTGATGCCAGCCTCAAAGTGAGTTTATCATAGAAGAGTTCATATTATAAGAACTCCCCACCAATACCAAGAGGAAAAACAATACACAGGGCCAAATACAGTGGATGTAAACTGGCATAGCTCCAATGGTTACCTTGTACCTATACAGATTTATAACTGCTGAAAATTCAAGCCATGGTCTTTTATGGTGGAATGGAAAATTGTATCCATGTTTTGGCAGAGACAGACAAAATACAACCCAAGTCAAGGTAAAGCCCTACAACAGATCTAAAATACCAAGAGCCAGATACCTTTGCCATTTATTACAAATGGTATCAAAAAGTTACTGAACTGCTCTAGAAAGTTTCTACATGTCAATTAATTGGAGGAGCATTCAGTAAACTTGAAAGAGCAAGAAAATTAAGAAAACATTAAAAGCTACTCATAAATGGAAGACTAAAGTGGGCAAGCCACATCAGACTCCATGTTTGTCTGGTTTCTTATTTTGTTTGGGGGGTGAGGGGTTGCTTTTGGTTTCATTTGATTTGCTTGTTTAAAAAAGGCAAGAATCTAGCAAGAAGATCCTTCGAAACACATTGGCAGTTAGGGAATATTTTTGGACTGTTTCAGAGGTTAGATGAGTGGGCTAGTACTGGAGAACAGAGACAATGCATCAATAACATTGACAAAAGTGAAACAGAATGGAAAATAAACATAGTCCTAAGGGACCCAAGCAACTGTTAGTTTACCTGATACACAGACAAGGAAATAATTACTTGACTGAAAGAACATGATTGGTTAAGGACAAAAGAGGAGAGGGGGTAGTGTGGAGGAGGCAAAGATATCCAAGAAAGTAACATAGCAATAGATATGACAAGAGGAAAAAATGTCCAGAGCTCCAGGGTACAGAATAAATGCTTGAAAAGCAATCCTTTTACTGAATAATATACTATTTTAGGGAAGAAAAGGTTATTTCCTATTTGTTTGTGATTAGAGTGGTGTACAACAACTGTAAGGAGAAAATGCATCATATGGTGATATTTTAAAATACACTGTACGTAATCAGTTCCAACATGTATAAGCAAAATGCATTTTTAACTTTCTATTAATTTTAGATGTAAATGTAATAATAAAATGATGGTAAGTGAAAGACATAACAAAGGGAAAAGTGGTTTATTTTAGAAGGCAAATTGTGTCACGATCTATCACTAAAATATACAGATTGTAAACTTCAAAGATAATCTCAGAAAAGCAGAACAGTCTGGCAGGTAGTTTTAGTTATGTGCAGATATATTTTTAGTGGACTTCAGTACATTAGAGGAAGACATCTGAGCTGTCTGTTTAGAAATAATTCTGGATCTGTATTTTCAGCATTGTGTGTATGCACAATATAGTTGGCAGTATGCAAATGGACAGTAAGAACTTCTTGGTTTTATTTCTGACTCGCTGAATAGAACTCATGATTCTCTCCTTGCAGGGCAAATCAGTGCTCCAGGGAGGTCCCAGGGACAGTTATGGTCAGGGACTGGCAAAGCCAAGAGTTAGAGAGGATAGAGATGACAAGAGTGAAGTGTCACAGAGCCTCTGTATCCATGGCTGAAAGACTCAGGTTTACTGCCTCTGCCTCTCACAGCAAGGGGATGCAAGAGGAAATTATTTTAGACTGTGAGGTGTTGCTGGAGAAGGTTGGGAACATACAATGTCAAATTGCAAACCTCTCCTACCTTATGGAGCAATGTAAGGAAAACTCAGGGTTTTGTCAGGTTTTAATTAATTAAGGCCTGATTCTGTTACCATTGATTGAAAGGAAAGCAGGATCAGCCCCAGAAGGGTTTATAAAGCCCTTTGAGAACCTTAAATGAAAGGAGTTACAGAAGTATAAAACCATCCCTTTGTTCCTGAGCAATACATCTGCTCTCGCAGCATCTTTTCCAACTGATGTCATAATCCACTTTGTGACATCACAGTTGGTTGCCATGGAAATGATTATGAAATACTGAATAGAGGATAATTACTTCATGTGGGAAATAAGCAGCAGGAGCAGATGGACACTTAAACAAAGACTATATTTTCATGGAAATGTCCTAACTTAGCAATAAAGAATAGAGAAAAACAGTTAAACATGCATGAGAAAGAAGCAGATAGGTTTCATAATAGATTCTTTTTAAGAATGTGGTATTGCTAAGTATTTATCTGTTCAAAATGATATAACCAATTTTCAGCTGCTGCACTGTTTATTTTTAGAATGCTTATTTTATTACAGAGTATTTTTCTTTACACATTTTTCATTCCTTGTTTATCTACACCATCTTTGGCACACTAAGAAAAAGTACACAGACATAGGGGAAACAAATGAAACACTACTTATCCAATAAAAAGAGGTCAGTAATTAATTTAATGATCACGGAAATACTTGTACCAGCAGGACAATGTTCCCTGCACAATGTTATACCTACTGATAACTGCACATTTTAACACCTGACTAAGTAGACTTGCAGTTATATATTAGCAGACCATTTTATATAATGAGTATTTTTGTCAAATGTATGCATTTCATCTAAAGTATTCTACCTCCAGGGAGAAAAATGAATCAGTGAAAAAGAACAAAAAGGCAGCCAAGACAAAGGGAAAACAATATTGCAGAGAAATTCTGTGTTCTAAATACTAATTGAAAGTGCATAGGTGGGATTTACCAGAGAACATAGGTAGCAGCTTAAATCAACACTTCTGTAAAAAGAGATCAGGTCAAAATGTGTTTCTGTCCAGATTAATGCCAAAATCTTGCTATGATTTACAGGAGTGTTATACATATGTTTGCTTCATTGATTTAAAATAAATCAACTACTTTCAGTTGATCTCATGTATAAAACTTTTGCATTTTTACAACTGTTTAAAAAGGTATAATTCTCACTACTACAATATAAAATAAAGGATAATATAGTTTTATGCTCTGACCCTCCAAAAAACTCTTCGCATATTTAATATGGCAATTCATAGTGTTTTAAGTTAGGCATGTACATAAATCTTTGCAGGAGCCAAACTTTACTCTGTCAAAATAGAAGGAATTGCATAATTATTTTCTGAAAATCTTTCTTTTTTCTTCAAATCAAATTATATTGTGGGTTTTTTTCACAGAACACAGAGCAACCTAATTAAAATACTTTTGTACTTCTCCATGCTAACTTGAAATATTCATGTTGGCCTCTGGAAGAATCAAGAATGTGTTCATAATTTTCTTTAAGCAGAAATATAAATACTAATATTTCATACCTTCTAGCGAAGAAAGTTGTTGCTCAGCTTCCAAATACAGCTGAGAAAAGATCGGTCTGGGAACTAAATTGTTTGAGCGGAGAGAGGCCTCAATAGAATTATGGAGTACTTCTTCGAATCTTGTTGTCTTGAGCTGTCCAGCATAAGAGTTTCCCATCTTCTCAAAATAAAAAGAGAGAGAGGTAAGAAACAAGTTTCAATTTTGGCTCACAGAGCTAGCAGATCACTTTGTGCTGAAGGCAAACCACAAATTTCTCATGAAAGAGGAGTACTGCATTGTCCACAGAGAAAGGCAAAGAAAAGGAAAATTGACAGCAGCAGCCACTAAGCAGATCCTGCTGGTAAATTACAGGAAGTTATCTAAGTAACAGCTTTCTGTAATTCAGCAGAAAAGCAGCAAACTCTGACACCTTTTTGGAAGACATTGCTAGAAAATTGATTCTAGTAATTCCCTGTTTTATACAGCAAATTAGGAGATGCATTCTCAATAGTCAGCAATTTTATCTATCAAATAACCTTTGTTTTCCATATTTTGTAGACAATATACTATAAAGTGTTTTAGGGACCTGTGCATTGACCATTCAATGCTCCATAATAACATATGCCTAAAATTTAGATTTTGTGATAACATTGTGCTTAGACCAGCAGTTTAATTGTTCTCTTTCAACAAAGTAATATTGTTATAATTTATATCCAGGTAAAAGGAGTGGCTGAAGTTTTGCTAACAATTTCTTTCTCATAAGAAATTCTGAATAAATGTAGGCAGTGCATTTCCTACAGCTCTTTGATTTAACTGTATGCATTATTAGGAGAACCACAGGTTTTACTTATCTGTAGTTTAATGAACCAGTCTAATTTAGCCGTTTACTTTCCACATACTTAACTATTGCCTGCTTTCCACTGTGAATACAATGAGCTGGTCTAACTCACAGCCGTATCGGCTTTCTTCTTTCTACTACAAAGTAGCTTTTGCCCAGGGCCCCACATCCTTTCCCTCCTCAAGTAACTGTGAATAGAAAGCATGAATCCCTTCCTATTTGTGGCTGTAATTCCTAACCACTAAACAGCCTCCTCCCCGCCCCTTTCCGCATTGGATACTGCTTGGGAAATGAGCCTGTTGGGAAGCATCCTCCAGAAGCACTCAACTAAAAGAAAAATGACTTTGAATAAACAAAACCACCTTCTGTTCATTACATGGAAATGAGTTCTGTATGCTGAAAACCAGTCTCACTTGGATGTATTTTTGTGACTTTAAATAGCACATTTTGCCATGTATATAAATAACTGTATCTATTTAATTTTATCCGCCACATTAAGGTTTTGTACAGCATTAATGTAAGCACAGAGGGCAACAATAAGGAATGTATGTAACATAGCATACAGAAAACATACACGCTGTTGCCATCACACACACACACACACACACACACACACGGTATACTTGCTAACTTTATCAATCAAAAATAATGCTATATACAGGAGACATCTATTTCATAGTTTCATAGTTTCATAGTTTCTAGGGTCGGAAAGGACCTGAGCAGATCATCGAGTCCAACCCCCTGCCATGGCAGGAAAGAGTACTGGGGTCAAACGACCCCAGCAAGGTGTTCATCTAGCCTCTTCTTAAAGACCCCCAGGGTAGGAGCCTGCACCACTTTTCTTGGAAGTTGGTTCCAGATCCTAGCCGCCCTGACCATGAAGTAGCGCCTCCTGATATCTAGCCTAAATCTACCCTCTGCCAGCTTGTGACCGTTTTTCCCAGTCACTCCTGGTAGTGCTTGGGGGGAACAGGGACTCCCCCAATGCCTGCTGGTCCCCTCTGACTAGGTTGTAACAGGCCACTAGATCCCCCCTCAGCCTTCTCTTGTGGAGGCTGAACAGGTTCAGGTCCTGTAGCC